TGTTTGAACTAATCATAGCATCTGTAAATACATGTTATGCATACGATAATAACTCATGAAACTACACCATTTCTTTTCTTTGAAACCATTTCTCCTATAGTAGGTACTCGTTTCAGCCGCTTCCTTCCCAGTTTAGTTTTCTTTTCAGGTGGAGGTATTACTCTCTCTAAAATTTCCCGAGGAAGATTCCAAAATTCTTCAGCTGGCACTGGATAGATTGGATCTGCATATGCAAGTATATATGACTCTACCTTATAATACGGAGAAGAGTACTCATAAATCATCTTGCCATATTCATCTCCAAATTTGTGTCTGAGCGCAGCCATAGCATGTTGACAGGGTATTTTATCCAAGTCAAACTCTCGACACGAACATAATTTACTTCGAAGATGGACCATTGCGATTCCATTGTCCGCGGTGACGCTGAAAGTGTCTTCATCAATTTGATGGACCAATAATTTATTTCCCAGATTCTTATTAGCCATTATTTTAGTTTCAGCTGAAGGAACGAAGGTGGTTTTTAACTTGGCGTATGTCATTCTTCTCTCATGAAATTTTTCCGACCATCTCTTGCCTATTGCTGTGCTTGAGAAGGAATTAATTCTTTGAGAGAGTAGTTGTGTACAAAGTTGATTTTTGCACTTCATTGACAAAACATTTGGATCAATGAAATTATTATGTTAGTTTTTTATGTAATTATTTCAGTATTTTGTGTTTTTGTTATCAGCTACTTTAATTGTCTCTACAACTGCTTCAATCGTCCCTGTAAGTGCTTCAGTTGTTCGTACAACTGGTTCAATTGTTCCTACAACTACTTCAGTTGTTCGTACAACTGGTTCAATTGTTCCTACAACTACTTCAGTTGTTCGTACAACTGGTTCAATTGTTCCTACAACTACTTCAGTTGTTCGTACAACTGGTTCAATTGTTCCTACAACTACTTCAGTTGTTCGTACAACTGGTTCAATTGTTCCTACAACTACTTCAGTTGTTCGTACAACTGGTTCAATTGTTTCTACAACTAGTTTAGTTGTTCCTGCAACTGGTTTAGTTGTTCCTCCAATTCTTTAGTTGTTTTGCACAAAATTACG